CTTTGTCCTTCTAAGTAATCACTAATAAACTCTTTTGCTTTGAGAAAGCCCTGTCTGTTTTGCCCGGGACCATGGTTGGTGGGTGCTCCCTCTGTTCCTGTCTCAACCCTCAGTCCCTTTGGTTTTTTTTTCCCTCTCCTCTCTACTTTACTGGAGAAGGAGAGACTGTGTGAGTTTTAGTTGCTAGATCAGCCTAAAACCACGACAAGAACAAAATTTGTAACTAACTTGTAAATAGAATTTACCTTCAAAAGCTTTTAATATACTATCTTTTTCATTATATTGTTGCAGGTTTGGTTCTGACGAGTTGAAAAAACAATTCCTCATACCAACTATAGCTGGAGATTTTGTGGCTTGCTTGGGAATCAGTGAAGCTGGAGCTGGGTCAGATGTTGCAAGTAAGTTAACCTAGCAAATTGCCAATTTTAGACAGCCTAGTATTTTAATGGAAAGAATCTGCTTTCCCTGACCCTTCCCTTTGCTGCTATCGTTTGTAAGAAATACAACGGAAGGAAAGCCTGGTGTGGTGAAGGCAAAAAGTAATATTCCAGGAGCAGTAAAGCATGCCTCTGATGCATCCGAAAGCAATCAAATCGAATGTATTTGTCAGTGAATCAGTAGCTATAACCCTGTATAGGCTAAGCACAACAGATCAATATGCAGCTGTCATGCTGGCCCTGGATTTCTCCTGGTGTTTGTCCTGCTGCTGCCTCCCCTGTTCTGTGAAAGCTCACCACTGGTGGGGAGCACTCCAGCACCTCCTGTAGTGGCACAGCCACCGTCACTTGTGCCAATCTGCAGGCGTTTGCATTAGGGGGTGTGACCTGTTCAATTGTACTAAAACTTGCACTTCCTTAAAACAGACCTCTCCACTGAACGCAGGCAAATTGCAGAGCTAGTCCATTCTGAAAATGACGGCATCGCTTTGACAGTGGATTCCTCTTGCTCATTCTTGCCTCACCTCAGCCCCTTCCTGTCGTTCCTGAGCCGCCAAAATCTTTCTGAAGTGATGATTGTTTTATTTAGAGCTAATGAAGAATTTGCCATGTCAAATATATTAGCTTTGTGACTTAGTTACTTTGCATGCAACTATTTTTCTTGCTTTAGTGGCAAGAATATGTTTAAAAACATGGACAAATGAAACGGTTATTCTGAAGTGCCTGAGGCAGTAGATAATTTGAACAATTAAATTAAAACAGATATTGTAGAAAAAGTAAAAGATATCTCATCTGACCATAAATCATGGACTTCAAGGAGAAGGGAATGACAAGAAATCACTTTTAGAGGTTTTATTTTTGGACCCGGGAGGGCTAAGTTGAACACATTGTGCTCTTAGAAATTACTGAGACAATATCTGCCTGGAGATAAAATCGATGAGTTTGACAGAAGTTTTTTGATCGGCAGAGTTCTACGTCCATCTCCTTGACCACACTCATGTTGTTATCTCAAGACAGATAGATAATTATTCAGTGTTAGAGCAAGGGTGCGGCAGGTAGTTTTCAAGAGTTAATAGGGATAATGAAATAATGAGACTAAATCTTCCTGCGTGATCCATTGCTGTTTTCCTTTCTAGATAATTGATTTCATTCATAAGAAAACTCCATCATTTTTACAGACTTGTTTTTCATTAAAATAATTTGAAATTAGAATTTTGCTAATGTAGGAAATCCAGCATAATTTATTTTAATTAATGCCTCTCTAGTTTAATTAGATGATTATCGGAACTTTCTAAATATGATTTTAATATTTTGATGCAGTGTTCCAGATAATAAGGAACATAAATATTCTTTTAGCTTCATGTTGTTTATCATCTAACTTAATTGGTATGATACACTTGGATTAATACAATTCAAGAGAAATTTGGAATCAACTCGGATTATCTGATGAACCCAGACTGCAGCTGGGAGGCAGACTGCAGGATGAAATGACAATATTTTTTCACCTGGCGTGGAAGATCCGATCCCTGGTACAAATCGAGAAACCAGCTTACAATGCTTCTAAAGGGTAATTAAATGAACAACTTAGGCATGACCAGCACTAACTTATGTTCTGAGTAGCACTGGCTTGCATGAGGCAGAGGGAACATCTCATCTCCAGGTGGCCCAGCTTTAAAGGAGACTGAACTGTGTGAAACTGCACTTGACACTTCCTTTGGTTGCTCATGCTATTGGGGTGTTTGTCTGCCTTAGGTAAGTGAAGGAGTAGTAAAGCATAGCAACTGTTCACATGTGAATGTTGGGGACATGCTTCTGCCATGTGACCTGGTATATTTTAAACTGAAGAATGATACAGAGTAAGGTAACTCTAGCATTTTCTTCTGCCAGTTCCAAAATTACTGAAGGTGATGCAAACACAGAAGAAAAAGAAGCCTCTACCTGACAAGCGAAGTGTGCCTGGAATTATTTTATTCAAAATTCAATGGAACAAAGAGGACTGTGTATGTTAGTCTAATATAAATGCCAAGTCAATTTGAAGGAGCAACTGTCTGCTTTCAAATGTGGTTGTTTTGTATTGTACATAATACTGACCATGTACCCCAAACCCAGCACACAGGTGACTTGAGAAGCAGAACAGAACATTTGGTATAGAAAGTGTCTTTCTTTAATTTCAGGATTCTTGGTGCCACAAAGCGTACACATTTATGTCAGTTTTAATGATTTTGTCTCATTCTATCTCACTACTATTCTGCAATTTCTATAGAATTTTGCTGATTGTGGGGCATATGTAAGAAAACATCGATGTCTTCCAGGCAACTGTGCCGAGTAACCCTGTTCATGTCTACCTCTTCAACATAGATATCTTGCCCTGTTTTGTCTCATTGGAATTCAGTCTTTCTCCATTTCTGGGTTTAGGTCATCTTTTTTTGAGCATGAAAAACCAAAATTGCATAGTGTCTATAATGGCACAAATACTTCTTCAACTCTAATAGAAATATTACCCTCCAATATGTAATGTTACACAACAATTTGCTGGCTTGTTGCTATTGAAACATTGTAAGATACAGCAATTGTTCTTATTACTTTGTGCCTAAGTATTTGTACTTGACATATTGAGTTTCAAAACTCAGGATCATTCCTTTCTTCCTCAGTTGTCTGTGTTGGTGATGTCTCTCAGGTTTGTGTCACCAGCACATTTCATTAGTATGTTCCTGTTTTTCTTTTAAAGATCATTAATGGAAATGTTCAATAGGTTTTGTCCAAAGGTTGATATCCAAGGAGGAGCTCCAATAGTACCCTTCCTGCAACATCAGCACTTCCTCTTTTGATGGAACCTGATGCAATTTCCCCTTTGCCAAGTTCCTTATGTACATTTCCACTTTTGTCTTAACTCTTATCTTTTCAAAATTTTAACTCATAGTTACCTAGTAGCATCAATTTTTGTTTGCTTGGGTCCAACAGGTTTTTTCCTATTCTGTTTTTCTCTGGAAAATCCATTTTCATAATAAATCAGGCTGGTTTTAAAAAAGATACCACTAGTAAATTGAATTCTCTTTTATTTCTAAATGTATTCCAAGGCTGTGCAGCTTGCCAAAACCAACAACCTTTGTTTTCACTAATTTTAATTTCTGTGCAGTCCTTCCTGTAGATGTCTTGCTTTGTCAGCTATATTGTGAATCTTTTTGTAATCTCATGTAAAGTATTTCTTTAGTTTTGAGGCATCCTCTATGTGCCTCATGTTTTTTCTCATTCTCTTTTCATTTCTATGGCTGAAACATTTTTATTTGCTGCCTCAGTCTTCTTTGATTTTGTTGGTTTTCATCTGCAAGATTTAACTTAGTTTGACCTTTTGCTGTTCTTACCTTCTCATCTCCAGACTGTAGCTTACTTTGATTAATCTCTTCCCCTTCCTTTAGGCCATGTCCTGTTTTTTAAAGTGATTATTCATTCAGTTAGACTTGAAGCCGTTTCATGCTAGTTTGGTGGTTTTTTTTCCCTGTACTGATGATGTAAATTTCAGATATGTGTTCTTCGTATTTTACTTTAAAGATATGCGTTGCCTATTTTTGATCATAATATTGACCTTAAAAGTTGAAGCCAGCCTCGCATTTTGTCAGATCTATTTAGATGTGTGGCTGGACTCAAGAGCACAGTGGAGAAGCGAACTTGAGGCTCATGTATGTGGTGATTTGAATGGTGAAGTGACCAGCCCTGGCTGCTTATATGGCACTAGCTGTATCGTATATCTTTCGATGGTGCCTTGTGGTCTTTCCTAGAAGGGGCCCTCACAGTATGCTCTGTAAGTTGTGGAGTTATAGACACTACAGGGCCAGTGGTGTGGACCTGCCAAAAATGAGTTATGAAAGTAGCCTTTTCCCAGAGCTATGCTCTATTAGGGAGAAAAATTGCAGTCAAATATTCCAAATTGTCTTCATAGCCATATCCCTGAAACTGAGTCCACTTGACTTCAGTAAATTGTTGAGTAGGTTTTCAAAGCCTGCTGTATTTCCAACATAAAACTTACTTATTGGCTCGATCGGCTTTCTTCTAATTAAAGTTAAAGAGAATCAGCTCTTTGTAAGTTGATTTTAAATAGTCATTTCTCAATTGTTTGAAGCAGACTGTAAACCATCACATCTGGGAGTATTTGAACATTCCCGTTAGTAAGGCATTTGCTCTTTAATCTGTATTTGGGTGGTTAGTCCCCTGTGACGCCAGCTTGCAAGAACTGTTTACATTTGAGATAACATCACAGTGCTCATTGTTCCTCTGCAGACCTTCCATGGGACCTCTATCTAATCTCTTCAGTAGCTGTCCCACAACAAGGGGACGTGCGTTGTAAATCATGCGTATGCTCCCATCCTTTTCACGATCCGTCAGTACAGTGTCATATTTCTTATTCCAGTTCTTACGTGTTCTTCATTTATTATTTAGTCTCCATGTATATGATTGTCCAGTGCCTGTGTCCCTGTATTATGAGCATCAGTGCTTTAGATTCCTTCAGTTTGTTGGCCTTTATTATTGCATAGATTTCATAGCAAGTCCCGTGGACAGATTTGGCATAGTCCTTTCCTTGACTGAATAGCTTATGGCTACTGTTTTTATCCACGTTATTACTGTCTCTTTGCCTTGCTGTTCATCATTATCTGCTTGTAAGTTCATTTAGCCATAGCTATATCTGATATTCCCTTGTCTTATACGATTTTTCTCTCATCGTTTTCAACCAGTTCCTTCATTAACAAGGCTTGTTTTCAGCCATGCTGACTTCAGTCCTAGTTTATCTTGTAAATGAAGATCAGGTACTTGGTTTTGCTTTGTTTTGTGTTTAGAGCCTTTGGGAAGAAGGTCCATGTGCAGATTGAGGTGGGTATGTGTGAAGGTATAACCAGCTGACTTAAGTGTGCTGCCCACTCCACTTGGTGTGTGACTCCTGCTCTCCAAGTCTACTGCCTCCTTCAGCAGATGGCCTCTTAGGGACTTTATAGTCTCATTAGATTTACAGATGCTGTTAGAGGTGTGGTGGGTTTCTCTTATACTGTCACCTTCTTATAGCTAGATATCTGTTGGAGAGTCTTCCTCAGGATTTTAGTTGAAGAAGTTCACTTGCAGGGGAAAGAAGCCAACCCTTTGGAAATTCTGCTGGAGCGTAAATACTAACTAATGATTCACGCCGGCTGTCTATTGCAGCTAGGGCTGCCTGCAGCGTGATGTGAACACTCACAGATGAAAACGTGATTGTTTTTTGCCAGGGGGTATAAATTACAGATGTTTAGAACTCCTTCATGTACAGACATTCTTAGCATTTAGACTTGGCCTTTTGAAAGTTTACTCGTTTTGAATTTATTACGCCATTCTGACCAAGAACATGCAGGAAGTTTGTGTACGTATATCTTTATGCATACAGATATTGAGGCATATGTTTGTTTAAGTCGGAACTCTGAAATTGATGGCCTCCTCAGTGACTAACGTGCACAGTAACAGAAATGTGTAACAGATCACCTTAGACTCAAATGTTTCTGGCCTGAGTTTTTGACGACCACGTTTACTTAGAGACAGTTTTCTGCTTTCATCCACTGGGATGAAGACTCCACCTAAAGGAGGGTGAGGGAAGTGGTCTGCTTGCCATAGCTTGCCTTCCAAGCGTTGTCCAGGCAGATCTGCCTTGTGCAGCCTGGAAGGGTTAGAGGACTTGGGGGATATGAAGGGAGAACCAAATATTGTTGTCTGTCTGAGAGCAAGGGAGTGACTCTGCCAGTCATAGAGGGACCAGTTTATCCCTCCTTCACAAGAATAACCCTTCATCTCCTATGTTTTGAAATAGATATCAAGACGACAGCTGTGAGAAAAGGCGATGAATATGTCGTAAATGGTGGTAAGATGTGGACTACGTCTGGGTGCCAAGCAGACTGGATGTGCCTGCTGGCAAACACCAGTGATGGACCTCCCCATCGAAATAAATCTCTCATATGTCTGCCAATGAATCTACCTGGTAATAACACAGAACTCTTTTTCTTCTAATTTTGTTTTATTGGTGGTTTTGAGTGTGCCCAGTAAACGAAGGAAAATTGCTTGACAGAAAGGATTGCACCCATAAATGCTCTTCTAAGTTAAGTGTTTCACTGCCATACGAAGTTGGTTCTGAAAGGCGCTTGGACACTTCCACAAAAAAGTAGGGGACGAGCAAATGAGAAAGAAGTTAAATGTTTTATAGACTTCAACTTGTGACTCCCAAATAATCTTATATGGAGAGTTGTTTTCAGCTCTTGAAACATAAATTCATAAAAGTTGTTCAGATACATTTACACGGGTGTATTTCATGACCTTCTGTGAGAATGAATAGACAAGTCAATGCCAAGGACAAAATTAATGCCTCAAAGCGCTCATTAAAAATAGAGCCAACATTTTTTTGAAAGTCATAACATCCAGTGTCTTTTAGTTTTGGAGAAGTTCCACAAAACTTTTATCTTGGTTTTCTGTCCTCAAAAGACATGAAGATGCAAACAGTCTGCAAAATAAGTAACATATTGCTCTATTTACGTAGATCCTTGCTAGATATGAACTGTATGTAAAATGTTCTTAAATTATCGTTCCAGAATAATGTTAAACTCTTTCTGGTTTTGCACGAGGACTTGTGAACAGGATATATACTTCTTTTTTTCAATGAATGGAAAATTAGGTTTAAGCTTGCTTATTTCTTCAGAAAGTATTGAAAGTGATTGTCAAACATGTGAAAATAAAAGGACAAAGAGTTTAGAGATTTCAAACTTAGGAAATACCTCCCAAAACAATCTTATCCCACATGCCAACACCTGCCTCCCAGGAGTCCATGGGCAGTATCTGACTCCGTTAAGAGTGGGTTTACTGACCAGCTGTATTGAATACTAGAAGGATGCAGTGCTGTGCTGTGATTGTATTGTGTGGAAGGTTCTCCACCACCCAGCCTGGTGGGCTTGCTGAAGAGAAGTGCAGGCATAGCCAGGGTGCTTCATGGCTGTGCTCTGCAAAGGCATCTTTTTGTCAGGGCGCTACTATAGTTACCAGTTTAAATTACAAAAATAGTCTGTGAGTTAAATGTGGGCTGGAGTGAAAGCTTCAAAGATCTTGGAAGCAGGGATTTGTTTTTGAAGATGGCTAGTAATTTGGGTGAAGACACTGAAGAAATACATCCTGATCTAAGGGTACAAGTTTCAGTGGTACAGTCCACACAGTGCTTGTTCCTGAGTAGTCTGCAGACCTGGGAGCAATAATGTGCCCTATGCATAAAGGACATCATTCAGAGAGGGTACAGTTAAGGTCATGTTGGTGGGGACCTTTTTCTGTTTTAACACCTTTTTGATTTTCACTCATTTTAATATTTAAAAATGATGTAATATATTAATTTAGTTCATATATCATGTTAATGTATTTTAAATCTATAATATCTATTTAATATATGATGATAATATATTAATGTATTTATATATTAATATAAAAATTAAAACCTATGACATTTTTATTCATTCAATTCAGAGTATTTTACACACAAAAGATTTGTCATTATCAGCATTTCATACGAAGGGACGCCACCATGACAGTGAACCAAAGGTCCCTATGTTCGCTTAATGGATCAGACTGAGAACAAAACCCAGGTCTCCAGTGTGGCAAAAGAGGGTGATGAGAGCTACTTAAGGGAATGTCTCATAAGTGAATTTCAGAATGGAGTGAGTCAAGCAAGTGAGTGAGTTACCTTTGGAATTAAGGAAGTTGTGAGTGGGTTGTGAGTTTCTACAACCTCTGCTTATGCAGGACAGGCTTTGAATGGAGGAGCTCACAGAAGATGGACCGGAGCTGCTTCACTAGTTGTTGTCTTTGTCCTTATTGATAAGTGGTGGGCGAATATGTAACTCAGAGCCAGGATCTCCCTGAATTTCCAGGTAAACTCGCTTGTCAGCCATCTTCATGAAGTCCTCCTTGTGAATTTTCCCGAAAGTGTCAGAGTACAAATGCAATACTACTTCTTTGAGATCAATTTTCCAAAACCAGCAAAGCAACTAACCCACAGTTAGTGGCAGATCAGATCAAATATACAGAAATGAACTTGGAGCTTTTCAGCTACTTTGCTTATTCCAGCAAGATGCGTGAGTCATTGTAGCTTTAGGGGAGGTGTTGTTAGGTCACACAGCCTATACACAGATGTTCTTTACCTGTGGTAAATAGGCAATTTTTCTACTCAAAATCTGAGTCACCAGAAGCTAATCTGCAGAAGTGTCGAAGTCTTCCTAGAAACAAAAATTGCACTTCTGCTAGTGTATATGCTTTCATTCTTCTGTGTGATATGGATATTGACCTCCAAAAGGGTCACTCTACCAAGACTGGTGACCTTGTGAAATGACGCTTGATTGTGCTCCGTGTGTCGTATCAGAAGTCAAAGTTTTCATGAAGGCAAAGAGCAAAAGTGTGGAAAAGGCTGCTATTTGACACAGATGTAAGGAGGAAGCTCCTACTATTTTGATACATCCCAAGGATGTCTGTCTGCCAAAGATTATGCTCCTTGGAAGGCAGCAGACCAAGACTGTACAGGAAGCATCTGGAGGACATAACTGAATGATGCTCTGTCGAGTGTCTGTAGATGTATATGTGTCAAAGCTCAAGAACGAGCGCGATGGAGAGTGAGTGTGTTATGTCTGACTAACTGCTGCAGTCACCAGCCTATATGGCAGGGTAAGGAAGGGGTCCGTGGCACAGCGGTTACTCATTCCTTGCTAGCAGCTGGAAGGATGTAAGAGACTAGTCCAGCATTTTTCAGAAAAATCCTAATTTTTTCATACTTGTATAACGTGGTGATAAAAAAAAGGAAAAAAAGTTCCAAGTCTCAAAGCAAATTAAACTGGTAGTTTATGGGAGATGTGAAGTAGGATTTGCTTCTTCTAATTTTAGGTCTGTACAGTGTCTATTTTGGGGTGAAGCAAATCATGGTATAGATTTGACAGACACTGCTGAATACATTTCTCATAAAGGGAATTTGGATAATGGCAGTGTGGATTCACAGTAGATGTCCAAATTAGGTGAATACTCCTCATACTAACAATGTCTTAAAAAAACAAAGCTGGATTTCTCATATGATGAAAGAGGATCTAATAAATCATAAAATGTCTGTGGGTAAGATATATAGACAAATGGCTTGCAGCCCTGATCTGGTAACTGGTTTGTCCTCCGAGTCCTTAGACAGCACTAGGGTAAACTGCAAGGAGGAAATAATAAAGAGAAGAGCATCCAGGAAAGGGGAATGAGTATGTTTCTCAGGTTGCAATTTAGAATGTGCCTCTTTCCATTTGTACTGGCACTAAACGGTGTCAGGAGAGAGCGACTGCCTTTCTCTCAAGATAGAATATAGGAAATAAAAGAGATTGTCAGAAGGCTGGAGGAATGGGAGAAAAAGAAAAATGAAAGATGCCTGGCAAGAAATGCCTAGGAAGAGGTACAGCAATCCATCTCAGTGATACTGGTGCAAGTACCACAAATGGCTCTGTTAGTGATTTTAGTAAGTCAGGCACTTGGCCTTGCTAGATTGAGAGTTGTGTACTGGATGGCTTGTGATTTATTTAATACAGACAAACTCCAGGAGTTATCTGGGCAGATGATTTCTACTGCTACTGGTAATTTTTAGTATATAGTACCCTTTATGAAGAGAATTAAGATAATTAAACTAAGTAAAGGAATATTTTGATGCCCATATTATAGCCAAAGAGATGATTATGTATCATTGTCTTCAAAAAAGAGAAAATGTAAAGCATGTGCTAGCAACAGAGAGGTCACTAGGCAAGGCTGATGCGTTTGGCCTCCTTCTGAATAAGAAACATTAATTAATCTAAGAGCAAGTGAAACTAGTAAGGCACAACAGAGTGAGGATGCTACTGGATTCCGGAAACTTGAGCACACAACCCAATCTGTAAGTATGAATAGAGATCATTAACACATTTAGCTCTAACCAAACATATAAAAGCTTTCTTCAGTAGTTGTTGTACCTTCATCTGGGGAAGTACACAACAGGATCGGTTTCGCAATATAAGCGACTGGCAGCAGTTGTGCTTTTTCCAGCAGAGTCCTTAGTAAACCACCGGCTAACAAGAGCAGTAAGTGCATCTTCATATGGATGAGAAGCAGTGATTGCATAATACCAGTTGGAAGTAGAACTGAAGACATGATCTCTGAGACTCTCAAAGAAACCAAGCAGTAATATTCCAACAGGAAAAGATGTTCCAGAAATCATTTGGGCTTGTAAATGGCTCAGTATGTGTGTTTGTTTAGCTCTGATTTTAATACAGAAACAAACCACAAATGCTTTTTTGGCATGACTGGGTGCAAATCGCTGGATAATTTTCAAGATTTGAAGAGTCCAAGAGGAAAAAAAATTTATACAGCTGTCCTGATTTTTCTTCATGCATTGAACACACATCAGAGCAAGTATTTCTAACACATAATCTGTTTATAGATTGGCTGGTGGAGAAAAATCTTGAGTGGAAGGCGTGGAAGTCTATGTGGACCTTATTCTGAGAGCAGTCTTGGCATTTGGAGGTAGTGTCAGTGTTTCATCTCTGCAGAGAGATGAAACTTTCCATAACCTTGTTCAATACAGTCAGAGAGAGTGAATTTGAAGGGAATGACTGCCAACTTCTTCTGCCTGTGAAACCAAAGTAATTTTCCCATGGCTGAAGGCCTCCTGTCAGTAGGAGATGTCTATATTAGTTCAAAGAGACGTTCACTAAAAGCCATGAAGGATAGCAAGGTACAAACAAGTACAGAGAGGGACTACAACGATTTGTGCAGTGACCAACTCCTACTAAGCCACATTAGAGAGTAGTAGAGGATTGGAAAAAAATAGAATGAAGAGGAAAATACTACCAGAATATGTCCTGATCAAAAAGCTGGTTAGAATACCATATATGTGAGTGGTAAAACATTTAGTTTTCTGCAAAGACATATATGCTGATTTGGAAGGCTGTTTTTCTGTGTATATTGACTTGGCAGATGTAATCAGCATGTTTTGCACAAATCTTCATACCTGGTTGTTGGCCTCAGTTTACCTCTGAAACATTCTTGACTTCCATCCCAAATATTCGTATTAGCCCCAGAGAACAAGGAGGTAAAAGCTGAAGACAAGATAATTGCTCCAAAAAATCAGTGGATGTCTGTTAAACTCTCATGGCACAGTGGTAAGGCGTGCTTGCATCTGAACGATAGCAAGAAAGACCCTGTAGCTAGGAAAGAAAAACCCAACAGGAAGGAGTCCTACCTGGTGTGACTTGGTAGCTGAAGTCTTATGTGGCCAAAGCTGAAGGAACCGGGTTAATCTCCAACAGACCATTGCACGTGAGGTCAGAGTCAGTGTTGCATAGGGAGGTCTGTGGGGGACCAAACCCTCTTCACAAGCGTATCCACATGAAAACTCAGAGGACTGAATTGTGAGTGGGTTTTAGGCCATCATAAAATACACAGTTTTAACAAAATTTGGAGTTGATATGGAATTGTTAGATGTTTGTAGCAGTTAAGAATTTGAGTCGAACTTTTTATTATTAGGAAGAAGCGGTGTGGTGTGATTATAAACTTTCTTCTACAGGTGCCAGAAAAAATCAGGATAGACTAGAAAGGAGAGGCTAAATGTGGAAGAGAGGGAAAGGAAGAGGATTTCCAGCGGGAGAAATTCTCTAATTGCAGCTTGAAATGTAGCTCTGTTTTTAACGTTATTAAAATATTTCTCTACTGTTTCACAGCAGTGCAGGCACTCAGCAAATACTGCTAAATTGAATTCCAGCATTTTATTATAGTGCGCTAAAAATCAAACATAAGCAAATAAATATTTCATTGTTTCGAGATGTGCATGAAGTAAAATTATTACTGCTAGTAAACAATTATTATTTGGGGGCAAGATGAAAAGTGAGACCTTTACAGTTGCAGTTTCTGATTTGCTAGTTAAATAAAACAGAAAAACTCTTAAAAATAGATGTGAGCTAATTTACTCTTAAAGTCCAGAATACTGTTATGTTTTTTCCTAAAGCTGTTTTTCACTGCGATCTTGGCACATACCTTCACATCTGCAAACTTTGCTTTCTTATAAATGCTGTCTTGTACATAATGCTTCTATTTTTTGTGGCCTAATACCCCTTTTTCTTCAGGCGTTCATGTTGCCAAAAAGATAGACAAACTGGGCATGAGGTCGTCGGACACAGCTCAGATCTTTTTCGAAGACGTCAGGGTCCCCAGCAAAAACCTCATTGGCGAGGAAGGAAAGGGTTTTATGTATCAGATGTTGCAGTTCCAGGAAGAGCGACTGTGGGGAGTAGCCACTGGTAAGTCATCGTTTGTGCTTCTGGGGCCGGGCAGGAACACAGGGGTCACCCTGAGCATGACTAACAGCACTTTCCTTTTATTGAAAAGTGCAATGACCTCTTACGATCTGTTTTTGAAATCTGTCATAGCCTGGATACAGACAACCTTCCCTTTCTGTAGGAAAACTTGAAATAGAAAATACTTTGTGAGGCATTGCAGGCTGGTTCTTTTTCTTGGTGCTCTTCTGCTGATAAGAAAATACTGCATCATGTTATGTCTGCTATAAATAGAGTATAAAGGCTATCAAAATACTGGCTTGAAATAGAAGGATGGTGACTTTTCCTGTAGTACGGTAAGCTGTGATGTTTACCCTGGATTTTAGAAAATTAACTTAGTGGCTGTGTAAAGAAGTGACTCTTACAGGATGTAAGAGCTTTGTTTTGTGGATCTGTTTTACCTCTATACACTTTGGACATAGGTGGTACAGCACTGAATTCCTTTCCCTGAAGTTATGCTGTCATAGAGTTCCCGTTACTCTGAACTTGGGCTGTACAGTCTTTTCTTCTTCGACTTAAATATAGTGTGGTTTGCTGTAAGAAGCTTGGTCATCTTTAAATTTCAGGGTTGTATAAATAATCTCACTGTAATGGTGCTCCTGCTATTCTCCTGTCTGTTGCTGTTTGTGGCTGGAAAATGCGGAACTCTAAGAAAGGATTTTCTGATTCAGTGACCAAATAAAATATCACTCCCTGTTGTGGGTTGATCCCAGACCAAATATTTTAAAGTTAATAAATCTTTGGTTTGAGCCAAAATTCTTAGTTAAGCCTGAGATAAACAGTAAACATGAGCATAGTTTTAGGAAAGAACAGGAGGTTAGACTTGCAAGGGATGCCTCTGCAGACTCAGGCAAGGAGGAGACGTGGTCCTGCTGCTGGTCTTGCTTTAATCGAGGCATAGACAGGCTGTAAGGATGTGCGTTGTGAATTTGTATGCTCAGTTTGAAATCTAAGTTAAGCAAAACAATCAGAAACTCTGGGTTGCAGCGATAATCCCCAGGCAGCAGAGTAGCCAGTGGCGTTAGTCATCCCCCAGGCACAAGTGACAAGCAGTGACAGCATCAAAACACAGAGCCTGGCAGGTTAGATCACTCCTGCTAAAACCACTGGCAGCTTGGTACTGTCCAGCCTTGCACAACCACCCAACAGTCACCGCGCTCTGCTAGGAAGCAGGACACCAGGTTTCAATTCTTCTTTTTGCCCAGAAAAACATGGCAGGAACAGGCGAACCCTCGCTCTGGATGAGCTGTCTGGAAAGGGCATCTTCACCCTGCTGCACCCGGCCATGGCCAGACAGGGGCCATCAGGGATGAAGAGCCTTGGAGCTCACCCAGGGAGAGGGAGCTGCCTCCTGCAGCATGTTGGCCAGTGTGTTACACCTTGCTGGGTCCTCTGGTTTTGCTTTTATCCGCTATCCGATGTAAAAGGCATGGGGACAAGCAGGGACAAGACCCATGCTTTTGGGCCAAGTTGCAAACTTCAGAGGCAACCAGTTGCAATAAACAAGAAAAAAAGAGTAACCGGTGTTCGGAAGGGAGCTGGGTGCCTGATGGATGCCGTTTGTTACACCATGACAGCCAGTCCTGCAAATGGTTTTACCTATATTTAACCACAAGTGTTTCGCTGAAGGCAGAGATGTGCAAAGCCATGTACGTGCCTTCGTTAGTTTTGTGATTAGGTCTGCAGGTGTAATCCCAGTCCTCGCTTCTGGTCCTCAGAAGGATGTTTCTGTTCCTTCCCAGTTCATGGCTGTTCATGTGGCATTGAAAACCATCGGTCTGCTTTTAAACACTGTAGGGACCAGTCCTGGCATCCTCACGTTCACTGCTTCCTAAAACTGGCAAGAGGCAGTTGACCACCATTCTTTTCTTTCTTTCCTTTTTGGGGGTTGTTTTGTTTTGTTGTGTTTGGAGTTTTTTGTTTTGGTTTGGGTTTTTTGTGTGTATTCTTAGTATCAAGTATAATGTGCTCCAGCCTTCTCTTTGTTTATTATTTATTTCTTTGTGGCCAGATTTCAGAATGTGTGGGGAGTTTCCTTCCTTCTTCACCACCTTTTTTTTTTTCCCTTTTAAAATGCATTTTTGGTTGAACAAACTTAAAATATAAATGGAAAACTAATTTCCTGGAATTTCAAAATTTGGTCACAGGTGTGGTCTTTTCTTCCAAGCGACATGTTATCAAAGGCATTGGTGAAAGTCGCTGTGTCTCTTGCTTCATTGAAAGAGAAGAGCTGCCACGTATCTCTCCCATGTTGTGACACTCGGTAAACACCGACCATTTACAGACCTGTTGCACTGATCACAGGAAAAGAATGTTGCTATGGCAAGAAAGCAAACAGGTTTTTTCGTGAATTGCTTAACTTGGAGGCGAAGAGGGAGTTCAGGGTGTGTGAGAGAGCAGAATGGCACTTTGCTAATGATTTCTATCTGCTCCTGTAGCCTCAGTTTTATGAGCACTGTTGAGTCATAGCCAGTAAGCAGGATGACAGATCCTTTTGCATGGGCAATGCACGTCTTTAAGACACAGATTGCTTAGCTTGGAGCTCACTGTACATCTCACTAGACAATGATCAGCCACAGCCTGAGAAAAATGTATTAATTTCCTTTTGAGAGGAGACATAGCAAGGCAAAAAGTGAACAGAAGTTTCAAGTGTAAAAATATGAGTTGGATGGAGGTACGAGGAAAAGATTATTCTACATCTGGCAACTTCAATTGCTTTCACAATTCTCAGCTGTGTGGTAGACCATGCGTTCCTCAGGCTGCCCGAGAGTGATGTTTCCTGCATGTGCTGTCAGCTGAAACCCATGGGGCCAAGTTTGTCTGAGGATGTGAAGAACATTATATGACAAAAGAGGAAACAAATATACAGCGGGTGAAAAATAAATGTTCAGAGAGAGAATGAGCTTCACTGTTAGGAATGGGGGTATCTATGTAGTTATATGACTGGCAAAGTATTGTGTGCTATTACATTGTACAAGGCTGTCGGCGGTCATGGTGTTCACGATGTGCTGCATTTCATTGCTGTTTGCTGCACAGCTAAGCTTTGCTGTGTTAGAGCTATGCTCGTAGCTGTAAAAACCTGTAGTCATAGCATCACAGAATGGTTTGGGTTGGAAGAGACCTTTAAAGATGATCATGTCCAATCCCCCTGCCTTGTGCAGGGACATCTTCCACTATATCAGGTTGCTCATAGCGCTGTCAAACATGACCTTGAACGTTTCCAGTGATGGGGCATCCACAACTTCTCTGGACAACCTGTTCCAGGGTCTCAGCACCCTCATCATAAATAATTTCTTTCTTATGTTCAAGCTAAATCTACCCTCTTTCAGTTTAGAACCATTGGTCCTTGTCCTGTCACAACAGGCCCTGGTAAAAAGTCTCTCTACGTCTTTCTGATAAGCCCTTTTTACGTATTGAAAGGCCTCAATATGGTCCACATCTGCCAAACAAAACTCTCCACAAATTCAGCACCTGTTGTTATCCCAGCGAAGCTGCAAGAAACTGATAGCCTAGCCCTTCACTTCGAGGCTGGTTTGCCTTGGAAAACAAACTTTTTGGTTTTCTTCTTCTTTAAAACAGGATCTCTACGAGTTTGCTCAAAAGGTAGCAGCACACTAGTTTCCTTGCTTTAAAGCAGTGTCTCCCATCTCTCTCACCTGTCTTCCAGCTCATTTACTAAAAGCCACTGTGAATCTTAATGTTTTTTCCCTTCCTTTCTATACTGGGATCTGATCACAGAATGCAGATGTAGTAAGCAGTGTGTTCGTGTTCCTTGATCTCTAAATAGGTTCCTGCCTTCTCCCTGAAATGTTCCTTGAATTTACTTTTCTGCAGCGTTCCTCAGGGAGCACACTGTCTGCCTTCAGATTTTCTTTCAGGATTGTAACAGACCTTCAGGACACAGGTTGCATGGAAAGCAGGAGTTGCCACAAGCTTTTGATAGGTCCCCAAACGTGGCATTAAGGATAAAGTTTACATACTCATCATTACATACTGCTCTCTATGACTTTCCTTCCCTCCTCCCCACCCTTCCCCTTCACTCTTCTCTGAGTTTTGGCAGTTTGGGGCTCAGGTGAAACAGGGGTAAAGAGGTCTTCATGGTACAAGGAAACACAAGATTTTTTTCAGAATTGAAACTCTGCATCCCAAACGGAGCATGTGGAATAATTTACTTTAGAAAACCAAATGTGTTATTTGTACAATGTAAAAAACCCATCTTTTTCAACAACAAAAAAAAACCAACAGACCTGGCTAAAATGATATCTTGTTCTGTGCTTTGTTTCTTCAAGTCCTGACACCGCTGGAAGCTACAATACAAGAAACTATTGACTACACTCGCCAGCGGAAAGCGTTTGACCGGCCGGTCCTGCACAACCAAGCCGTGCACTTCCGCCTGGCCGAGCTGGCAACCGAAGTGGAGCTGCTGCGCTCGCTGCTGTACCGCACTGTTGGTGAGCTCCTACAGCTGCCTTTCCACATGGGCTTCTCTTCATGCGAAGAACGTTGTGAGGCTAAAGGAGCGTGGGGAGGTGGTTGCCAAAAAGGCAGGCTGGCATCAGTGACTCTGTGCGTATAACTGTGCTTTTTTCTTTCTTTTTTTTTTTTTTAGCTCTCTATGTGGAAGGCAAGGATGTGACAAAATTTGCCTCCATGGCTAAGCTAAAGGCAGGTCGTCTGGCCCGTGAAGTGACTGATAGCTGTCTCCAGTTTTGGGGAGGAATGGGATTCACCAGCGAGGTTCTGGTGAGCAGATTTTACAGGTGAGCAAGTGAGTGCTGAAAACAGTGAATGGCTTTACTGACATTTGGCCTCTTAAAGGTCCTGCTAGAAGATCACCCACTTGAAAAGGGCACCAGCCTCTAGCTGGTGTGAATGCTATTGTTCCACTGATGGCATAGCACTGATGTGTGTGTTGTGGATGCAGGGGGATCCACGTTGACTTTGGGGTGACATGTGTGAATGTCAGGACATAGCCTCGCTATTCCTTTGCCAAATCTTGACCTTGTATTAAAACTGTGTAATTTGAACTACCCACAGATTAGCTTGAATGTCAGGCGAAAGAATTAAACTCCATGTTTTCCCTGATGGTCCTCTGGTGCCTGCCAGGATGAGGTAAAAAAGGGGAAGCCTACCGACAAGTGGGTTTTTTTTTTCCTTTTTGCTCTTTTGCTTGTAATCCTGATTACAGGAACAGAATTAAAACAAAACAGAGACTTTCTTCCAAAATCAATGAAAATCAGCTTTCTCTTTTTCCCAAAATATATGTGTGAAACTAGAGTTCAGCATTAGGCTCCTGTCTTTTCTGATAGCAGTCTCCACCTGATTTTATATATATACACACACACCAGATAACTCTGTGAGACATAGGAGAGATGTAGCTGCTTCCAGCAAGTTGTTAGATCATTAAAATGGTACAGAGGCCTTTTTGCAAATCAATAAAGTCCCTTCAACTTTTACCATATATCTACTTAGAGCAAAATTCTCTAAGCAAACAGTTTTCTTCGCAGGTGTCAGGAAAATTCTGTCCCCAGTGTCTTACATTCTGTAGAAGGACCAAAATGGAACTTGCATTTTCTTGCAGTAACAGATTTCAGTTCATCCCTTATGCATAGGATGCCTAATCAAAGGTTAGAAAAATTAATCAGTGGTTCAGTTGAAAGCTTTGGTAAATGTATGTGTGCAATGTGAGAGCAGAACACTTTAAAAAAAAAAAATCCGTAAAAGGCTTGATTCTTTTTACTAGGTTGAGTTACTTTTTCTATTTTTAATAGCATTTTATGAACAAGAATGCCATTGCAGTAGGTCAGAGAGATCCTCAACCTTTTTTGACTTGTGGATTCCTGAAATTTTCTGGTGAAGGTACAGACTGCTGTATGGTGGTGGTTTTAAGCCAGCTGTCTGTATCATGGGTTTTCGTAGTTACTTTTTTCACAGCCTCATTATTAGCAGCTACTGGTCTCTGGTGCAGATGTTAAAGCTACTGCAGTCGTAAGTCTGAATAAAGTGAATCCTTGTCTTGAAGCACTGTCACTGTAATAATGTGTACGGATTAATGTGTACGAGCTTTCATTTAGCTTTGATTTGTATTTAGATTTCCTACCCCAGTATATTATTGCTAACTGCAATACAGGCTTTTCTGGGTGAATTCCAGAGTGGTTTCTAAGTACATCAGAACGGTCACATTTTTCTTCGAGAAGAAATCCAGAGTATTTCCGATGGGTATAAACTGTGTCAGCTGGCTAAAGAAACCTATCTTCCTGCCTCTAAACCAAACGCTGTTATAAATGAGGCTAAAGGTAGTATGATATCTATACTCTAAAATTTTCAGTGAATCAGTAAAATTCCATCATTGAGTAACCATAAGCTCCAGGAAGGGAGAAGCAGAGTATTACCTAAATAAACAATTACAGGTTCAAGTCAGAACCCAGTTAATCTGTAACGATAAGCAAAGCAGCGACTTTCCTAAAGCCGTTCTTTTTCATACAGCAGTCTGAGTAACCTTTCACGTCACTGGGATGTTTGTCAAGTAGCAAGCAGCATAACTGCACAGCGTGACATCCAGTCATAATGCACGGAGATTTTTGTAGCATAATCCTTACCAAGTTTCCAAGGAAATGTTAGTCTTTGACACACGTCAGGCTGTTACTCCTCAAAGGGCACGCAGCATAATGCATGGTTAGTGCATGAAGTCTTTGAATTTTAGTTATTGGTATTGGTGGGAAGACAGTAAACAGACCCGGCACAAAACTGTCTGCCAAATGACTTTATTCATGTCTATTGTTTCAATCATTAGTCTTTTAAACTTTGTAGAACAAGTGATTTTTCTAAAGTGTAGTATTCCCTAGAAGGCATAAAGATAGCTGTTTCACCATGTAGGTGCCTATACTGGCCTGATTTTATATACGTAAAGGTATCATTTTTTTCACTCTGAGGGTGGTGAGGCACTGGAACAGGTTGCCCAGAGAAGTTGTAGATGCCCCATCCCTGGCAGTGTTCAAGGCCAGGTTGGATGAGGCTTTGGGCAACCTGGTGTAGTGGAGGGTTTCCCTGCCCATGGCAGGGGGGTTGGAACTACATGATCTTTAAGGTCCCTTCCAACCCTAACCATTCTATGATTCTATGATTTTCAGTTGGAGGGACTCTGAGAAGGAGAGTGGATTTGGAAAAAAAGTTTTGAGTCCAAATATCAGAAGTTTTAATAGAAAAACACAAGCCATTATAAAAAACAGTAAGAGTGGACTTTCCAGACTTTATCCTACTAGCAGGATTCTGGAGGAGAAGAGCGCCAGACTGGTGGTGTGTTTGTTTATTTTTCTCTTCCCTGTATGAAATGCTCAGACACATCAGGACTTTGGAAAAATCAATTATTGAACAAACCCACAATCTATATGAAAACCCCAGTTTGTGAGAGAGGGAGGAAAACTTTTTGTAGCAAGTATATTGAGATTTTTCAGACTTCATAATGTGACTTTTAAAAAAATTTCAGGTACTGATCTATATGTTTTGATGGTGATTACCTACACTTCAATTGTTATAGATTGGTTTTTTTTTAATTGAGATTGTTTCTAAGTACTAAACACTGTGTCTAACTGCTGTCAGTTCTTACAAGTTTTACTCTTGTGGGGCGTGATGGGGAGAATGCTGACTTCTTTATTTGCTGCGTTGTTAAAGACTTGAGAAAACAACAGTGAAAAATATTGTTTGACTACTCGTGAAATAGTGTAAATAGCATTGCAAATGTACATAGCTGCAGAAGAAAACATATTTTTCCCCTCAGCTGTCACCTGGATACTGCAATATGAAGCTTTATTTGTAATTAAGGCTAGTTAAAACTCAAATTTCTATATAGTTTTAAGTGGATTTTTTTTTGAATAAGTAATGCATTTCCTTGTAAATTATTTTTTATATTTCTCACATATTTTAAAAATTCAGTTGAAATATTTTATTCAGTTTCATTCTTTATTTCATTTTTTAGACCCTTTCATTCTTTACCAAGCATGTATAAACTAGAATGAGCCTAGACAACTGAGTTTCTTTAATCAGTCTTTGTCATTATCACAATTTATGGTTGTCCAAAATTAAATGAAACCCATCCGTTTCTGCTGACAAAAAACAATTTGCTTTGAAGTCAGCAGCTAACTGTTGGGACAAGACTTAGTCATGATTCCTCAGCGATTTGTGAAAACAAATCCATAGTTTCCACCTTTTTCTGCAGAGGTTCTGAGATGGATGCCTGTTTACCACTTTGGTTGGCTTTTATGAGTGCCTTGAGAGGGAATTTAGGAGATGAAGCACGACATCTAGCCATAATATGGCAAATCAAAGTCAACAACTGTACAGCGATGACTTTAAAGCGGAGCTACGCTTCAGAGCAGGACAAGGTGATGCCCACTGCTGCTCAGCTGTCCCTTCAAAATGCCCCTTAAGGGAAACAGGCAGGGCCATGGGAACCAGCAGGCGTTGCTGCTGGTGGCAGGGCTGTGCCACGCTGGGTTGTATCACTTCAAAACTTCTCCCTCTGGATCAAAGTCACCTTTAGATGTTGCTTAATTTGGACAGCCTATAAGCAATCTAGCAGAGTCTGAAGATGGAAGAAGTCACTAAATATTAAACTTGAGAGTACATCAAGATATTTTGTGGAGAAAAATCTTGCCAGTAATACAACTTTAGTAATTTTGAGAAAAAAGGGTAAACATTTTGCAGTCAAATTTAATTTGTGCTGAAAGGAAGCAGCGTGTAAATGGCCTTCTGGGAAGCAATGATACTCTGAGCCACGCAAACCTTGTCAAGGATTTACCAATGGCCTCCTAACCAGGGAAGCAGGGAGCAGTATCTCTGAGGGACCGCTGCCATGAAGCCAGGCTGCTAGGCAAAAACAGAGCTGGAGACACCAAAACTCACTTTCTTCCCCACGTCTGACTGGCACTGATCACTGCCAGAAAAGGGAAAGAAAAAGGACTTAGTTTGTTTTCTCAAGGCTTTAAAGTTGTGTGAAGACATCTGCATTGAAGATAGATAGTCCAGCAGGCTCCTCTCAGGATGTCTGTGAACAGAAAGGGCTTTTAAGATCCCAATGCCATATGGCTTTTAAGAGGAAGATGTAGCGTGGAGCAGCTCCCTGAGCGGGCACAGCTTCTCGGCTGCAGGACGTGAATGGTAGTGGGATGCACAACTGCAAACACTGTCACGTTTTATTAGCTCGAGGCTAGATACGCGTTTAGTGTGCCATTAGCTGCGGCCTCAGTGCCTGTGTAGCACATTCTGAGGTCAAAGGCTTTCCACGCACCGTGAGGTAGGCACCTGTCCTGACGTCATGGCTAGGGAAGTCACTCACAAGGGAGAGCTCAGAGTGTACCTGATTTTCAGGATAACCAGGACCAAAAGGTTTACAGGCAGGGTGAAGGACACAGCTTGGCTTATGCCAAACGAGGGCTGAATGGTGCTCTGGGTGCAGAGGGGCAACACCAGCCAAAAGAGGAACGTTAAACTGAAGGACTACACTGGATTGTACTACTCAGGAACACATTCAGACTTGAATTAGAGGGTTGCTAATCATTAGAACAGCTTCGTTATGTGACAGCCTTCAAATTAGGATAGTCTGATATTAAAGGGAGCTTGTTTTTTCCTCCTTAAAGCAGTGCTTGATACATTTCTGAAGGAGATTATACGACATGGCACCTATGGAGGTGGGAAACTTGATTTGACGACGTGCAGGGTCCTTTTTGTTCCTTTTGCTGCCTAACTAGAAACTATTGATAAACTGGATTGAGTTTGGTGGGTGGGAAGGGCTCATCACCCTCCCTCATAAATGCAGTTTTTTAACTCAGTGTTGAAGAAATTATTTATTATTATTTTTTAATCTGTCAAAAAGTGGATTGCTTTTTAACATTTACAGCTCTTGATTTGGTTGAGTAGAGTAGGTCTTATCATCTACAGTGGATGTTTCAGGTGCATGGGATTTCCTGAATGAGAGGAAACTCTTTGCAGGGAGTGTTTTAGGAGGGCAAAACACAATGGTCAGGATTTACCTCCTTCCTCAGGCAAACTCCTACTCTCTAAGGAAAACAGCATTCAACAAGCAGCTAGAGGTTCGGTCCCTCAAAATGACACCTTTTCGTAACTGTATGGTGTGTTGCAGGTTGGTTCCTCACGGTCCTTGTTCAAGGTGAAGCCATCACAGGTCAGTGCCCGCCTCAGCAGGGCTGCAGGTAGTGCAGGACATGCTGCTCTGTCATGGGGGCAGTGACATGGCGATGGAGAAATCAGAAAGCAAAGTGTTGCTGTGCCAGATCAAAAGCATTCCCGGGGTAGCCTACCTAAAGCAATAAAAAGCTATATTCATATATATTAAAATCTTTATGTGCTGTATTAATAATGCATTATATACTATAAACTATCAAGCAATAAATTTAAAATAAACAGCTGATACACAACCTTACTTTACTATGTCATCTTCCCCAGCTTCCCCGCAGAGTTCCTGGGAGGATCATTAGTCCTGTGGTTTTGTTTTCTTATGCTGAAAACAAGTCTCTTTCCCAGAAGAGGGCTGCTAGATTGAAATCATTCGAGTCCTTTGTCATCTCCATCCTTTTAGACTAGGTGAAACCTGTCCTGTCTCCCTAGGGAAGACATCAGCAATAGTCATTGGCCTGTAGATTCTGTAGGAAATATTCCTTCTCTCACCCATAGAGACAAAAGTATAATCACCAGCAGTTTTGTAACGACACACACACGCACAAAAACATATGTGAAAGGTGGGGTTTTTTTAAACATATATTTATATGTGATAACCTGACATGTTTGTCACACACCACCAAAGCCAGATCTTACCACTGCCTATTTATAACTTCATATAAACAAGCCACGTGTCCAGGATT